CCATTAATTAGATTTTACAAATTTTTCATTAGAGACAACTAAAAATTTTATTTTTTGGTGTATCTACATTTTTGCACTGGACCATAATAATAATTAATTATAAACTAAAATTAATAATAATTATATTTTATTTATAAATATTAAAATTAATTTTAATTAATTATAAAGAAAAATTGATTACTATTTAGATTTGTTTATAATCAATTATTTAGTTAATTATTATTAATTATAATTGATTATAAATAAATTTAAAAAAATTATTTGTAATTAATTATAAATAAAAAATAAATTTTAATTGATTTTTAATAAAATTAAAGTCAATATAATCAATTATAATCAATTATAAATTGACAATCAGATACTAACTGGATTTAAAATTTTCTAATGTTATCAAATTATTAAAATACTAAAATTCTGAATATTGATATCATAATATTTTCATAATGATGAGATTAAACATCTTAATAATGCTATTATTGCAATTTTAAATTTTCATTTCATTTCTTTTTAACACACTTGATCTGCATTATTTCTTATTGTCATATACTTTAGTTTTATGACTATTTTTATGAGTTCAGAGAATAGGTACTCATAAAATCGAATTATATTTTGCTGTATAATTCTATTTTACTATCTGATTTATAGATTAATATCTATTTATATTATTTCAATTTTTTTATGTATATTTCCCAATATATATCATTCCTAGCATATTTTGATCTGTAAGGGATTACAGAAAAACAACGTGTCAAATTTACAGGACAGATTTTTATAGGGCACATATTGTTCTTGAAATTATTCGAATCATAAGTACCATACATGAAATTTTTTATAAACAAAAGTATTGGCATTGATTTTGAAATGCAGTTTATTTTATTATGCTAACTTTGAATTTAAATAATTTATATAACTTAATGAAAAATAAAATTAATCTCTACAAGTTAAATGTCATCTCTCGAACTACCTTTCTTCAAACATTGAAATAGATTACGTACATTCATTCAAGCCGAGGGCTTATTCTTTTTGACAACAGTGTGCAGTATATCACTACATTTCATACAGTATCCCCTGAGATATGGAGTTTTTTTGTGGATCATGTTTCATCCTACATGTAACAATTTTTCATATCTTTCTGTATGGGGAAATTTTGATTAGTACCCGGGTAGCAGTATTATACTAAATACGTAACCATTATAATAAAACTTGATGGTTACATGTATTCTAAAGTTCATGTAACATGTACCAACGTGTATAGCGGACATAAATAGCTAAATTCTATTGGTTTAGATTTATGATGTTACATGAACATTGATTGAATGATGTACATGCATAATAATAATTAATCCAATTGAAAAATAAAGTTTCTGGCTATCGTTATGACAAAAATGATAATAAATGTATTAACTTACATGCACGATACTGTTTCTCACCATAGTGATATACGAAATTTACATGTGCAGTAATTTTAAAATTGACTGATTCTCACCGCTTTATCGTTACGAAAAAACTCAAGTTTATTCTTCTTTTCTTTATTGCTTACAGAGCACTCTTCAAACAAGATGGAAAGCAAACTCAGGAAATTTGAATATCGAAAAAGTGGAATACCATCATTTTTTAAGAACAATGTTTCTACTAATCATAACTTGAACGAATCGGTTAATAACAACATCAGCAACTTGTCTGAAGCAACCAACAATAATAACACCACTGTTGATAGTATAGACTTAATCGTATCAGACACCAGTAATAACCGTGAGTCGAAACGAGAAACTATCATTATTAGTGATTTTTCAGAAATAGCCACCAATAACAATGATGACATATCTGAAACAACTACGAATAAAATTGATGAAGAGGAAGAATCAAAAGAAAAAGCAGCATCAGGACTTGTTGAAGTTCTCATAAAAATTTTCACGGAATCAAATCATCGATACGAAAACGACGAGATGATATTAAAGCGAGTGAAACAACGAATAGAAGAAGATGAAGAATGCAACGACCCAACGTTGATATTTAAAGTCACATACAAGAAAAGATTCCTAAATGGATATACATCATTTCTTGCTTTTCTGTATCATTGGGGACTAGGAACAGAGATCGACGAACGCGAAATGTTCTTTTGGTATCATATTGCGGCTGAGAAAAATGCGTTAGCGGCAAATCAGGTTGGCTGGTGTTATTATGCTGCGATTGGAACGGAAAAAGATTATGAGTTGGCCTTTTATTGGTTTAAGAGATCTGCTGATGCTGGTTATGCTGGTGGTCAAGGTATTCTCTTTTTTATTTGTTATTCGTTTCATTACGCACATCAACTAATTCTGAACTAATTCTGAACTTTGCTATATAAAGCTTGGTTGGGTTATTGTTATCAGAATGGAATTGGTACGCATAAAAATGAACAGAAAGCTTTACATTGGTATAAGAAAGCTGCCGAAGGAGGAGATGCTGCTGCACAAATCAATTTAGCGATGTGCTATCGGGATAAAATTTGCGTGAATCAAGATGACGCCAAATCATTCTATTGGTTTCTACAATCAGCCGAACACGGCAATCCATATGGACAATTGAATTTAGCCTACTGCTATCAAAAAGGCATTGGCATTGAAAAAGACGAGCGGATCGCATTCGACTGGTTACAATGTTCAGCATCCGGCGGAAATGCAGACGCGCAGAATCAACTCGGGAAAATGTACCAACTCGGTGAGGTATGCGAGAAGGATGACGTTCTCGCGTTTGAATGGTTCACGAAAAGTGCCAATGCCGGGTTTCCCGAGGCTCAATTGAATCTCGGGTACTGCTACAGCTGTGGAAACGGGACTTCGCGCAACGGAAAACTTGCTTTTCAGTGGTTCAAAAAGTCAGCGGAAAATGGGAATTCGGAAGCACAAAATGTATTGGGGTATTGTTATCAGATGGGGTTTGATGTGAAGATGAACTTACAAACAGCTTTTTTCTGGTATCAGGAAGCTGCATCACAGTTTAATGCTAACGGATGTTTTAACGAGGCTTGTTGTTGGAATCATGGGACTGGAACTGTTAAGAATTTGTTTCGTGCAATTAAAGGATATCGAAATTCTATGGAATATGGAAATTCTGACGCGTTAAAAGCTATTAGTGTTATTTTTCGAAAATAGCTTTAGCTTGTAAAAAGATTTGTAAACATAAATTTTTATTGGTCTTTGTAAATTGTAATTTACAATAAAATTCAATCTCAAATTCTATTTATTGAATAAATATTTGCTAAACAATAGATTAGTGCTAGCTAATTTATTGAATTAACGTTAATTGATTTTCGCTAATATAACTGTCATTATGAATGTAAATACAGGGAATGATACAATTACGTGATCAGTGGAGGAGATTTGTGTTAATATATCGAGATGTTACTTTATTGAAAGAATAGATACATTGAAAGCTTAAATAATGAGACCGGAGGAAGAGATTTGGTGTTACTACAATGAATGTTAAAAAATGTTAGCTCTCACTGTAAAAAGGAAGTTATAAAAGACAAAAGGATAACGATCCTGTACCTCAACTTTTTTACTTTCAAATACAACTTCAAAACGCGAGGAAACGATCCTTGAAAAAACATACATTTTCCCATCTCTGCGTATTTAGAGTACTGTTATCCGCTGAGTTTTAGGCATTATTTAAACATTTTTGTGAATTACTCGCTGTTCCGAATAGAATTCTAATATACATGATTTTTCTCAAAGATTCGAATTACGTGGATTCTAAGAGAACAGGTTTTTATACATTTATATTTGTATTTATCGAGAATTATTCGAAAGAATTTTGAGGACATTAGATAAATAAATATCGTCGAGAATGGTTGACAAGTAATAATTTATTTATCCATATTTAAAAAACGTAATGGTAATTAAGGGTTTTCATTCACCGCACATGACTGGATTGTTAAAATTTGGAAACACGCTAATTATAACGATAATAGAATCCAATCGTCACTAAAACTTTATAAAATGGAATCGTAGTATCACAAACGAAGCTGAATGATCTAGCGAATTGCGAAATACATGTATTTACTAATTTGAATATTGTCAAAAGAGGTTTTGAACTTTATAACGATAAAGCATCGTTGTACGATTACATATAGATATAGGATCATAACGATAAAGAAAATAGATTTAAACATGTGCATGTAATCGGTCGGTATGCAATATTTTTGTGAATGTCAGCAGCACAATTATCATAATCAGAAAGAAAACGAATTCTTTAATTCAGAGGTATTTCAGTCATTCTTGAAAATCGTAATGTTATGGCGGATGATATAAGAGATATAATTTTGTCACTAATAATAATAGAAATTAAAAGAGACCTGAGATAAACCTTATTTTTCAAATTTTGTCCATGGCAATAAGAATGTATTCGAACTGGTTCTCAGAGAATTTACGGAAGTTAAAATCTTTAACACCTGAAAAAAGTCGTTCGCGAAAATCGTTATCGTATATTATGCTTCTAATGTGTCATAATACGCATTTAAATACGTTTTCAAAATCAATTTAAAAATTTCTGGATGAATATCAAAATAAGGAGTGGTATTGTTGCGTTATAACTGAAAAAGTGATAACAAGGTAATGTTTAGTTAGATAAATAATTAAGAATTCTAAATGGCTTCTGTAATAATTTTGTATGCAAATTAATCTTCATTAAGTACAATTCCAAATAAAATTTAAAATAATTGATTCAAGAGTTCAATCATTAATCTCGAATACTATTACCAGTGAAGAGAATTATATATAGTGCTTTATTGGAAATCTGAAAGTGGCAGAGATGGATAATGAATTAAGGAGATATGAATAAAAATTTAGAATCCGCGCAAGATGCTTATATTGTAAAAAAAAAAAAATAGTCTTAAACTTCGCAAATATAATTTTGATAGACTCATTAATAAGCTATCAAGTTCTATATTTTCATCAAGTTATTGAAATTTATTTCCGAAATTTAAGTTCTTTATCCAGATTAGTTGGAATTCTTGAAATACGCTGTTCTAATTGAATATTTTGTCATAAGGTCCGGTGCAAAAAGATTTGTACCTCAAATAAACATTAATAAATAATTTAATTAAAGTTATTAGATATTTGGAAAATAGTTTTATTTTAATGATATATTTATAAAAAAGTTTTATTGGTAATTTTTTAATTTTACCATATAAAATTTGATTAAAATTAATATTGTTTGTAATAATACTAGTCCAATTTTTATTAAAATTGGAATATGTTTTTATAAATATAAAGGCAATATACTTGCATAATTTGAAATTCTAATCTTGCAAATTGATAAAAATAATGTTTAAAATGTATTTTATTTAAAAAATTTTTTTTATTGAAGTACAGAATAATAAAAACAATGTAAAAGTTAATTCAGGTTATTTTTATTTAATACAGTTGTGACCAAAAATAATGCATCAGGAACTAAATTTATTAATAAAGCATAGTAAAAATTGAAATTTTCTCTCTATATTGAAATTTATAATTTTATTAAGAAATAATTTTTATTTTTATATTAAAATAAAGTTCAATAGTTATAACATATATTTTTTTCAGATTGTTCAGAATTTTTTTTAAAAGAGTTATATAAAGTCAGTGCAAAATTTTTATTAATTAAATTTTATTTTTAATTAGTAAAATTTTTGCATTAATTTGCAATTAGAACAATTCTTTCAGAAAAAATATCTAAAAAGTCTGAAAAATTATTTATTAAACTATAACTAATAAACTTTATTTTGATATAAAAATAAAAATTATTTCTTAATAAAATTATAAATTTTAATATAAGAGAAACTTTCAATTTTTATTATATTTTATTAATAAATTTAGTTTCTGATTTATTATTTTTAATTAATACTATATATAAAAATTAGATAAATTTTGAATAACTTTATTAAAAATAAATATTAATTTTTAGTTTAGATATAAATCTTTTTATACTGGATTATAAAAAAATAAATATTTTATAAAGATTTTTACAGAATTATTTTAATAAAAAGTAAATTTAATTTAATTTAAATATTATAATATACTAATAATAAGTTTATTATTATTATTTTAATATATCTAAATTAATCTTATATCTTTATTTATTTTGATTCAGAATATATATATATATTAAATAAGATTATAATAGTTATTAATTAAATAATTAAAGCTAATTAGCAATTATAATTATATTAAAAGTCAAAAGTTAGTTTTTTTTAATTTTAGTTTATTAATTTTTAATTTTTTATTTGATTAGATATTTTTAAATTTTTTCTTGACTAATAATTAATATAAATAATTTATTATTTACTTAATAAAATATTTAAAAAAACTTTTAGTATCTAGCTAAACTGTTCTTATTTCAATAAAATATAAAAATAACTTTTATTAAAATTCTTTTTGCAAGTTATTTTTGTTTTATAATTTATTATCAATTTAATAACTGGTTTTTCTTTTAATTAAAATTAAGAATATATATATAAATTCAGAATTCTTCTTGAAAAATTACTTAAAAATAAATTATATAAAAGTAAAATATAAGAAAGTTATAATAATCTGATAATAATTATAATATAAAGATAAAATATTAATATAATTTTTATAAAAAGAAATTTATTCTATAATATAATAAGTATATATATAAAAAAAATTATAATAATCAAAATTGATTTTTGAATAATTTAAATAACTTATTCAAGTTTTTTAAAAAAATTATTAATAATTTAATTATATTAAAATTTAAATAATATTTTGAACTGTTTCAAGAATAAAAACTCTAATAATAATATACAGTAACAATTAAAAATAATGCAACACTTAAATTTTTTACTAATTATAATTAGAAAAATACATATTTTTTCTTATATATAAAAGTTTTTAATTTTACTAACAAATATTTTTTATTTTTAGCTCAAAAAATAGCTAAAGTTCTCTAGTTTAACATATATTTTTTTCAGATTTTTTTACCGATAACTTGTTCTAATTGCATATGAAATCAATTAATTTTTATTAATTAATAATTAGTAAAAATTAATTGACTTTATATGCAATTAGAACAAGTTATCAGTAAAAAAATCTGAAAATTCTGAAAAAAATATATATTAAACTAGAGAACTTTAGCTATTTTTTGAACTAAAAATAAAAATATTTGTTAGTAAAATTAAAAACTTTTATATATAAGAAAAAATATGTATTTTACTAGTAAAAAATTTAAGCGTTGTATTATTTTTGATTGCCAATATATTTAAATAAAATAAAATAAATATAAATTTATTTATTATAATAAAAATATAAAATAAAATATATTAAAATAAGATAATATTTATTAATTAAATAAATTTATTATATTCTTAATTATATATATAAAACTTAAAGTTAAATAATTTCAAAATTTCTTGATATATATATATATCAATAATTTTTTTAAAAATTTAAATATAATTATTTTTATATTATATAAACTTATAAATAAGAATAACTCTGATAATATAACTAAAATCTTTAATCTTATAAATAGAAAGTTTATAAAGTTTTAATTATATTATTATCTAAATAAAATAAAATTTTTAATAAATATTATTTTATAAAAAGATTAAATAATTTAAGATTTATATAATATTTAAAACTAATATATTACTTAAAAAATAAATTTTATAATATAATAATTTTGCTTATATAATATTAAATAATATATAAATAGACTTATTAAGCTATTAAAAGATAAAAAATTTATTTGTTAATTTTGATTTTTAATTTTTTGATTTTAAAAAATCTTTTTATTTTATATTAAATTATATAATTCAGTTTTTTAATTATTTTAATTATAAAATAAAAATAATAAATATCAAATAATAGATTAATAAAAATTTATTAGATTATGACTAAATATTTTTTACTATCTAGTATATTTATTCTTTGTATTAATAATAACTTGAGTACACTTCTTTATATTTTTAATTAAATTAGTTAAAAATATAATATTTATTTTAATTTAAGCTTTTTAAATTATATTTAGAATTATTCTAAATATGAATATTAATAAATAATTTTTATAAATATTATTTTATTTTAAAGATATTTAATTGAATTAAAATCAGATAATTAAATTAGCTAATTAAGTAAACTAATATTATTATAAT